GAGCTCTCCTGTAGGCACCCGATAAAAACTATACATTTATCTCAAGGAAGTATTATGTAACATTTAGTATCGCCAATGCAGTATCACCGATACTTTACTATGAAAATAAAGAAATCCCACTAATATGTAAATTTGTAAATTTGGTGTCAGATGTAATACAAACAATAAATGCAACAGAAAATTGTATTTGATGACCTCCAAAAGCAAAATTAAAATATATAATGAACTTTTTGTGAAAAAAGAAGAATTATTTTTGGTGATCTCATACACCTTCGAAGATATCCTTATCGTGATATCATTATATCAGTAGGCTTGATAAATTAATAATCATTGCCTTTTAGAAAGACCAGTTCACCAAACATCTCATCTGATAGTCTACTTCTCTTTAGAGAGAAAATGTGACCCACCAAACTAAAGAGTCGCTTCACAGGAGCAGAGGATGGAAGAGGGTGTTGTATTTCATAAAAACTTTCACAATTCCTGGGTACTGATGTAGTGAGGACAACCCATTGCTTGTGTCACCCAGGTATTTTAACACCTCCATCTCAGATGACTCTTCACAAAGAGATCACTACATATGCATGTATAGTTCAAGAAACAAGTCAACTTGTGACATGATGGATGACTCATTAATGAGTAAAACGGAATAAAATCAAGAGATTTTCAGGGAATTTTTTGGATATATATGAAAATTCTGGAGATTTACCACTATTTTACTAAAAATTAAAAACAAATTTGATATACAGCTGAAAAATCTGGAGAAATCCACACTTTTCTGGGTATCTGGCTACACTGTAAGAACGGTGCAGCCGACAGGCGACAGCTGTCTAATATACGTGTTTAACTCGCCCATCGCCCTCACTAGCATATCACAGCCTCCAGCTGTAGTTTATTGGTGTTTATAGCTTGAGGATGTGACATACAAACAGAAATAATGAATAATGTAGGTACGTATTTTTGCCAGATGATATAAATGTAAAAATTAGATCTTTCAACTATTAAATTAAATATAATTATTTTATGAAAAAAATACAGATAAAAAATAATGGTGGACTATCCAACTTTTTGCAAATTAAAAATGAATTAATTCTAATTTCCAATCGCTATTTTCGATACATTTCGAGAAAAGGGCCCAAGCGATACCGATATTTTCATTCAGCAGCTCAGGCGATACTGATACAAAAGTATTGATCGGTACGTATCGCCGATACATGTATCGCGATATTTCCCATCTCTGATTGTACAGAGCACCTGACTGTTTATTTTAACGAAAATATTAGGTTTAGTATTATGTCAGTAGTATAAACCACAGAACACTGCACAATAAAGGATATTAGGTCTATAGAGTCAGAGGTACCCCAGGGTAGTAATGGGTGTTCAGTACACAGGAACACAAGTATAAATACTGCCCAGTCTGATGGACTTAAGAATGATCACTGTGGCTCCTGTCTTATCGGAAGGGTTGTTAGGCCTACTTGTGAAGTGCATTTCTTTAAAATGTAATAAAACTCGTACCTCTATTTTATGTCACTGATATGAACATTATATTTGTTCTTAAATGTATAACAGTAATCTAACTTTTATTTTTCAAGTAATAATGATCTCTTAGTTTGTGGTTGTGGTGGTCCTCTTAGTTAGGTCATGAGAAATATTTACTGTAGGTGCATGTTATGTAGCTTTAAGAATAATTATTACCTATGTGACCTGAGCTATAGTGAATAAGTATTACTATAAGTCACATGTGGTGTACAGTTATTACCTATGTGACCTGAGCTATAGTGAATAAGTATTACTATAAGTCACATGTGGTGTACAGTTATTACCTGTGTGACCTGAGCTGTAGTTAATAATTATTACTATAAGTCACATGTGGTGTACAGTTAATACCTGTGTGACCTGAGCTGAAGTCAGTAATTATTACTATAAGTCACATGTGGTGTACAGTTATTACCTATGTGACCTGAGCTATAGTGAATAAGTATTACTATAAGTCACATGTGGTGTACAGTTATTACCTATGTGACCTGAGCTATAGTGAGTAATTATTACTATAAGTCACATGTGGTGTACAGTTATTACCTGTGTGACCTGAGCTGTAGTTAATAATTATTACTATAAGTCACATGTGGTGTACAGTTAATACCTGTGTGACCTGAGCTGAAGTCAGTAATTATTACTATACGTCACATGTGGTGTACAGTTATTACCTGTGTGACCTGAGCTGTAGTCAATAATTATTACTATAAGTCACATGTGGTGTACAGTTATTACCTGTGTGACCTGAGCTGTAGTGAGTAATTATTACTATAAGTCACATGTGGTGTACAGTTATTACCTGTGTTGACCTGAGTTATAGTCAGTAATTATTACTATAAGTCACATGTGGTGTACAGTTATTACCTGTGTGACCTGAGCTGTAGTCAGTAATTATTACTATAAGTCACATGTGGTGTACAGTTATTACCTGTGTGACCTAAGCTATAGTCAGTAATTATTACTATAAGTCACATGTGGTGTACAGTTATTACCTGTGTGACCTGAGCTGTAGTCAGTAATTATTACTATAAGTCACATGTGGTGTACAGTTATTACCTGTGTGACCCACAGGCTGTAGTCAGTAATTATTACTATAAGTCACATGTGGTGTGCAGTTGGGTGTGACCTAAGCTACGATCAGTAATTATTACTATAAAGTCACATGTAATTGTACAGTATTACTGTGTGACCTGGAACGTCAATGTGGCATTTAAGCTCATGCACTGTTAAACAAATGTTAATCAAGAACTCCTCCAACAACACAATTGGTTGCATTTACAAAGTTCCTTGCAGGAATGTAATATATTTTATGACCAGACAGGTAAAGAGATCTTGCAGCTAAATTAAACAACACAAATACAGTGTTAGGACAGGCCAGGAATCCAATGCTCTGTTTGTTCATTTGAGGGATAACAAGCATTGCATTGACTGGGATAATGCCTCCTCAATATTACCATGTAATTCAATTGATAGCAGGAACATCATAGAATCTAGTCTTATTAAACATACCGAAGCATTCAACATGAATTTGAGTAACAGCATGTACAAGCTGGACAATTTTGTAATTAAGAAGATTTGTGACCAGGTGAGAAGGCCGGGTCACCTGACCATCTGACCTGACCACCAACCGTTGTGTGCTATTTAAAGATTAGTAGGGTCATTACTAGGGCCCGGATAGTTATGCATTTGCATATTTCATATGCAAATGCATATTTTGCGTGATTTCTATGATAAGTGCATATTACCTAGATAACTGCATATAAATGCATATTTTGGTAAAATATTCATCTGGCAGTATCTCTTTGTTGCCACTGAATGAGCACACGTGGTACTGGGAGGTGAGGTGAGGTGTGGTTAGGTGAAGTGAGGTGAGGTCACGTCGCTTTAATCTGTCGTTTCCACACCTGGTCATGACTCATTGGACTAGTGAGTTAGTCAGTCAGGAGCAGTGCTGCTGTGTGGAGCTACTCTCTTCTGCTGCTCGTGAAAATGCCGAAAGTACAAAGAAACCAAAATGAAGTGCTGAGATCATATGTAAAGGAATTTGATGCATTTACTACTGATGGAAGTGAAAAAAGTCAGTCAGATAATGTCTGGTGATGCTATTATTGACGAGACGGTACAGCCACTCACTATGTCAGACCTCCTATGTATGAAACATGCACCAATCGTCTCGTGTGATGTAGAAAGGGTGTTCTCAGAATATAAAGCTATGCTGACAGACAACAGGCGGGGTTTTAACTTTGAGAACTTACGCCACCATGTCATCATCAAATGCAACCACAATCTGTAATGTCTGAAAATATGTCAGTCTATAATGTAAATACATGTTCATATATATTTTTTGAAGCACCTTCACATATATATGTTAAATACATTACGTATATTGCTTAATAAACATTAACATTAGTTTATATTAACTATTTTGTTTCCGTATAACCTGCATTCTTGGCTTTATAAGTGACATTTTTAGTGCATATAAATGCATATTTCCCCTGTTTTTAGTGCATATTTGCATGCATATTTCATGGTTTTTTAGTGCATTACCTAATACCTGACCATTGTGGACCTGATCTCACCCTCCTCTGTATATATACACCTTGTTTTGTACTTCTCCTTAGTCTGTACTCACCCCTGAAGATGTGAATTACACGAAAGCGCTTGGGAACTTCGTGTTTTCTTCTTTCCTTGTGGTTATCAGCATATATATATATATATGTGGTTATCAGCATATACCTAGATCACGCGCACCTACAGTGATTTACTTGCATATATATATATATATATATATATATATATATATATATATATATATATATATATATATATATATATATATATATATATATATATATAATTTAATGGCGACCTGTGCTGTAATGATCAGCATGCTGGCCTCGCAAGTGAGCGGACCCGGTTTCGATCCTCAAGCAGGGTGAAACTATGGGAAAGTTTCTTTACACCATTTGCCTCTGTCTACCAAGCAGTAATTGGGAACCTGGATGCTAATCGAATTGCGTATCGTGTTCCGGGGTAATGGATAGTCAGGCAACCCGTATGGTTTTTGGTTGTTGTGTTGGCGACAGCTTAAAAAAATTCACTCCTAGGTGGCCCTTGGGCCGGCCATCCTCGTTACACGAGGAGCAACCATTATTATGTATGTATGTATGTATGTATTTATGTAAGTATGTATGTATGCATGTATGTATGTATGTATGTGTATAGTGTATCGATCTACTTAATTATTTTAAAGCTCCACCATAAATAATATTATTTAGTACTCCACTGATAGCGCTTATCTTTCCTTCTATCATCGTCTTGAGACGGAAGTTTCGTGTCAGTATAGCAGGAGACTCGCCATGGGGATGTGGAGGTTTGTGACATTCGTCTGCCTCACCCTCCTGCTCTATTGTGACTTAGCGAGGACAAGGAAAGCTACTCTTTATCCCCTGGATTCAAGAAGAATGAATCATGGCGTCGAGGAGCGAAGGATTGTGAGACCCAATGTTAAAGAGACAACAGAAGTAACTCTTCGCCCCTTTGCTCTTTTAGGGAGAAGCAGGTTGACTATTAAGAGACCACAAAGAAAGACCCGAGACCTAGCGGGAGTAGGTCCTCAGGTTCCGAGTATTGGATGCTCTGCGTGTCATGTTCTACAGCCAGGGGATAAGTTAAGGCCCGTGTGTCCTTGGTTCCTTCAAGTATCGTCGTCAACTGATGGCTGGAGCTTCAGTCTAGAGATCAATGACGGTGAAAATTGTGTCATAATTTCAAAGGAAACTTTACTACAAATTCAAGTATCCCCAAGTCCTTGCCAGTACGGACATGAATTGAAATATCCAAATACTTCTCATAAAAGTGTTTCTGAATTTTTTTTGTATACTCATCCAGAAATAACCGTGGACCAATTTACACTTCATTCTCACTTGAACGGGACACTTTGTGGAGCAGCCAACGAGGTATCAAACATCGTGATGAAAAACAAGAACGACAATGCAAGTTTGGAGGTAAAGGTTGGTGACCGCTGTAGCTTGCATGATTGGAAACAGATTCAGAAAGATGAACTTAATTTCTTCAAAACTGTGTCGCACTATACCAGTTTGTTTCTGGTGAACCAGAAAGATCCATTTAAAGTTGTGACTGACGGTAAATGGCACTCCCTTTCTCTGTCAGCTCAACAGCTGATTGGAGGAGGCCACTTAACCATTGTTTTCGATAGAGAAGAACTCTTGAATGTTACACTTCCTGGAGACGTCAGTAATACGACCATTAAAGCCGACAGTAAGGTTCTTTGGTGCCGCCAGGGTGACTCTTTCACAGAGATGTCCACCTCTTCACATACCACCACACCACAGTCTGTTTCAACCACACCACAGTCTGTTACAACCACACCACAGTCTGTTACAACCACACCACAGTCTGTTACAACCACACCACAGTCTGTAACAACCACACCACAGTTTGAAATAACCACACCACTGTCTGTAACAACCACGCCAGAGTCTGTAACAACCACGTCAGAATCTGTTACAACCACACCACAGTCTGCAACATCCAAGCCACAATCTGTAGCAACCACGCCAGAGTCTGTAACATCCTCACCAGAGCCTTTAACAACCACGCCAGAGTCTGTAATAACTACTCCATATTATTTAAGAGTCACACCAGAGCCTTTAACAACCACGTCACAGTATGTAACCACCACGACACCACCACACCACACAGTGTCTGATCCCACCCAAGCCAGTTTCACCGAGACCACCATCAGCCCAGCACTGCTAGGTGCCAACATCACACAGCCATCGACTCCCTACACGACGACATCTAGTTTACTTTATGCATCAGACGAGATCACGAAAGGAAACAAGTCGACAACAGCTACAACGTCAACACACACAACGACATACGAACGGACTCAGAGCCATGACAAATGTTCCTCATCATCGACGGCACCTACTGATAGACTTCCGAAGTCTTCCAGTCCGTTATGTTACGGTGCATGGATTTGGGTCTACACACTTGTAGTTGTATTAGTGTTGGTATTCTTGTGGAAGCTGCAAGCAAACTGTAAATGGGTTTCTAACTTTTGTCGTATACGTCCTTGGAGCACTCGTGACAGACAGAGTAGGGAGTGTGAAAGTAGCAGCCTCTTCGAGATCATTGACGTCTATAATACTGTGGATGATGGCGAGTGTCGCTCCTGCCAATACGATGCCCACACACACAGTCAAGGGCAGACATCGTTACACAACACTCAAAGGGATGACGATTTTGCTGTAACCGTAGACGATTTCTTACCTGCTGTACTTTCCAGAATGTCTACTAACGATAGCTCAGAAGATACTCCGACTGTCGCTCAAAGTCAAACATCTTCAGGCGATATTACAAGTGATGAACTTTCTCATTTGCTTGTAGAAGAAAATCTTAAACAATCACAGAAAGACGATTCGTGTCAGTCATCATCAGCTGATTTTATTGCTCAATTAGGGACTGACAGTAACTTGAAAGATAACCCCACAAACACACTTTCAAACGAAAGCCTTTACATGAGCCTCCGGGAAATATTTTCAAGTATCACTGAGGACAATACAGTGAACCCAATTCCTACACTCAATTCTCTACAGGAAACAACATTTTGACAATTGATGACAGCACATACCTTCAGGATTAGACAACTTTACCATCTGAGGAAGGAATATGATCCAGCTTTTCATTCCATAAAGAGAACTTACTGTAACTAATAACTAGGATGGAAGGTTAAATACATGTTAATGTTGTCATCTTATACACTAAAGAAAGGATGAATAGTTATTAATATGATGTATGAGTCAACATGGCTATATATTTATTACTTATTCTGTTTATGTTTGCGTTGATATTCTATGCACTGTTTTCGGGTCTTCATCTGTCAGGACTCTTAAGTACCATTCACAAACACTATGACCCCACAACATTCAACATGTGCTTCGAAAATCATCTTTTAATTAATTTTGATACTGAGGACGCTGGAAACATACCGCTAATAGCTGCAAATTTTTCTTATCCTAAAAAGTCACCCCCTGGGAAGTAGCCAATATTATTGTTGATTAAATGTGATAATTATGTTCAATAAGTTCTTAGTAAGTATTTATATTTTACTGGGAACATTTTGTAATTCATTCTATAAAAGTAAGAACTCATTACATGTGTAAAACACTATCACCAAGATGTTAATATTAACGGTTGATTTATGTATCCTCTACTTTTCAGTTTTCTGAAATTACCAACAGATATTACTTATATATAACATCATTACCATTACCTATAACATTGTTTTTAATAATTAATGTACTGTATTTAAATGTGGCTCACTGCGGAGGTAATTTTGGCAGTTAGTGACCTTGTTGCACCCTATTTCTCTAATATATCAATTGGTTCTTTACTTATAACCAGCTGCCATGCAAACTTATAATGTGATACTACCAAAATTATTTACTCTTTTTCCGTCAGTCAATCCTTCCTCCTACACACGTCGTTAAGTGATTATTAATTTCCAGGTTAAAGTTTGATAATAATGATTTTATTACGCACTCCTCTTTCATACTAAACGCTCTACTCGCTACTTCGCCAGGCGTTAAACTCTCATTATATATGAATACTGCTTTAATAATTTGTAGTTTGTTCCTTTAGAAATTAGATTCATTTCCTCTAACTGTCCTAACTCATTATGAGTATTTTTCAATAAACTATGCTAAAAGAATTATCTATCATAATGAAAATTTTTTGGGTAAATATCATTCTTTTCATGTTATTCTTTCGCTTTAGTTACACAGCAATTTGAGAAAAAAGTAACTGATTAACAACCTAAGGCAAGTTCACACATTTGAATAAAGACACACACACACACACACACACACACACACACACACACACACACACACACACACACACACACACACACACACACACACACACACACACACAGAACTTTTCAATAAACCGTTAATTATTATGTTTATTATTATTATTATTATTACACACAGATGGACAGATAGGCAGACAGATAGACAGAAAGGTCGACAGATAGATAAAGAGATAGACAGATGGATTTTCTTTTAATTGAAATGCTATTAGTTTTACAAATAGTCACGTGGAGAAATCTTTTCATACGTTTTGTTAATATAGTTAAGATATTTAAGAAGACACATACAGGTGTTGTTGTTCCTAGAAACAGTATGGATTATAGCTGTATATTATCAGCATGATTCTGTTGTAACTTTTCCTGTTGTTGTGATGTTTCTTAAATATAAGAACTTCCTGCATTTATCTTGTTTGTTTATCCCAGTATCTAAAGGAAGAGAGATAGTACGAAGCAAGGAAGGTGGGACGGAGGAAGGGCGGAAATGCATCTCAGACAGCATCATTAGAGGCAAGAAAAAAATAATATATATATATATATACAGTATATATATATATATATATATATATATATATATATATATATATATATATATATATATATATATATATATATATATATATATATATATATATATATATATATATATATATATATATATATATTCCTTAGTGTGCTTACTTAACAAAGACCTTAGTTGTTTTGTTGAAACACAGAGTTAACTACTCGTGTATATATTAGCGATACATTTACAAGAGAATTATTTGATTATGAAGTTAAATATTTCCTATCATGGTTTTAATTGGTACTTACATATTGTTTTATTATTACATAACTTTCTTATATATCTTAATCAGGTGTAATAGAGGCCAGGATCTGCCCGACACTTCGCACTAACTGGCACCTACTTGGGTATCTACTATCTTATGTGCTTGAATTATAACAGATAAACTCTGATCTTCATTTTATACTATACTGTATCACGATAACAAAAATATTTTGTTCACTGTACAATAAGATACACCAGAGTAAATGTGTATTAAAATTACAATCTTTAACATGTACAGTAGAAGTGAGTCACTGGTACAGTGCCAAATGTAGCCACAAGTTATATTAATCCCCACTTATCTTACAAGTAACTTTGGTTTAAGACATCCCAGACATTCTATTCAAATACTTTTCGTTTTATAAAAGCTGAATGTACAATTAAATATGAAAACAATAATAATTTAGGAAATACTGTACGTATTGGTCATTATGTATTTTTGACCATTTAGTCCTCATCAGTGACACACACACACACACACACACACACACACACACACACACACACATCGTCTCGTTCAAATTAGCTTCGAAATAGGTTTTCAGGAGTTTATTGGCAAAAGTTATAATACCTGCGTTGAGGGTCCTCTGATATAATTAGTTGGATGGGATGCTGATATTTATAGAGGATGTCACAAATTCTATTATCACTGTTGTGTGGCAGTGAATTTATGCCATCAAAAGTTTTAATGAATAGGATAGAATATCAACCATACAAACAGACAGCTGACTAAGCACACTGTCAGTCAGTTATTATTCAGGGAGCCAGTGACCCGTATCATGATAAAAAGGGCCAGACCTTCACCCATCGAATATAAAAGTTTTGAATGTTTCTCGTGAATGATGAACCATTCCTACATATGAAACACAATGTTGGATAGCGTAAAACTGTTGCGGCTATACCCTCTCGCCTTCAAACCCTGCGCGGGGAAGGTGCGTTCAAGCTGGCATCACTTCACCCACCATAACGTACCATGGCTCTCTGATTTCGGTTTAATTACATAAATATGTTCTTGTTTTCATGAATTTTACTATATCTATACTGTATCTATTAGGAAGCAAGTGTAAAAATGCACCCTGTATTCACCCCTGGGGGATATAATATTATATAATCATATATATATATATATATATATATATATATATATATATATATATATATATATATATATATATATATATATATATATATATATATATATATATATATATATATGTATAATATTATATGATTACAAAATATTAGAAATTACATTGAACTAATATAATTCACATCCAATGCAAAAAATAAACTAATCAGAAAGGACACACATCTCTTATATCTCATTTCCTTTCATAGAAAACCGTTCTTGCAACAGTGACTGATACAAAAAGAATATACAGCACACATCTTAATATATTAATGGCATGTAAATACATAACCCTATGTAACAGTGGGAATCGGTGTTCAGGTCTGAAAGTATCTGTACCATGAAGTGCATCCTTTTTCTGCTTTGGACAGCAAGTACAGTGTGGATGCCTTCTGGATGCTTGATGGCAAAACCAGAGACAGAGGCCGCACCTCGATTATACTGGAGTCGATGCAGTGAAGAATGACGAAATTGATTCGGGGACTTAGAAACCTTCCATATCAAGATAGATTAAAGAAACTAAACTTGCATATGCTGCTTCCCGGATATGTGTATCAGAGAGAGGGAGAGAGAGAGAGAGAGACCTTCCCTCACCTTTTTGGACATACATTGGGCTGACAGTAATAATTGCTTATCTGGAAATTGGTGAAACATTAATGTGATAGATTGATAGATAATATAACAATTGCCGGATCATAATGTAAAAAGCTGATGTTGAAAAGACTAGTCGTTCGGGCGGTGGTGAACAATTAACCAGTATCGATTATCTCATCCCAAG